TCTCTCTCTTCTTTCTTTCTTTTTCTTTCTTTCTTTCCTTCTTTCTTTTCTTTCTTTTTCTCTTTTCTCTCTTTCTTTGTTTTAACTGCCAGAGGGCATTTGAGCTCACCAGAAAGAAACAGAGCCAGAGAGGGAGAAAGCCCCTGTGGATTACGGTAATGCCTTGGTCCCTTCTTTTCCATTTTTCCATCCTCTCAGGATTTGGAGCATGCACACCATGTATCAGGCTGCTTTTCAAGCATCTGGGGCCAGGACTAGAATCATAGTCAACCATGTGGGAACCCACTCCCTTAATCACTAGGCTACAGGGCTAACCCTGTTTATTTGTTTTTCTTGTGGCTTACAAGTTAAAAAATGTTTTTTTTTACATTTCTAAATGGTTGAGAAAAGTCAAAATAAGATAAATATTCATTATTTGAAAATCATACAAAGTTCAGATTTCAGAGTCCATAAATAAAGTTTTATTGGAACACACTCATACTCAAATATCTGCAAATTGCGTCTGCTTTTACACTATAATGGCAGAATTAAGCAGTTCTGACTGAGAACATCTGGCCTGCAAAACTGAAACTACTGCCTCATTTTTTACAGAAAAGTTTTGCCTATCTTTGACTTAAGTTAAATATGGCAGCAAAAAGTACAAAAGTTTTGCAGGGTTTTTTTGAGATTTAAAATAAATTTAAGTTATTGGCAAAGTGCCCACCATATAGCAAGGCCTCGAAAAAACAGATGTTGTTGTTGCTGTTCCTTTATTCAGTTATTAATTCAACAATTAATTATTGAGTGCATACTCTGTGCCAGAGAATACAGCAAAGAACATAAGAGACAAAATGTCTGTATCATTACATGAACAGTAAGCAGTTAAGTAAAAAAATATATATTATTTTAAATAGATGGGGAGAAAAATAATGTATGGAGAATAGAGAGTTTCAGGATAGGTTTTTAGATTCAATGGCCAGGAACCGCCGCACTGAAAAGGTGATGTTAGGGGCCAGCAGTGGCATAGTGCTTAAGGAGGCTGGATTCCACATGGCTGACTGTGCAGTTTGAGTCCCAGAGCTGGTAACTTGAAGGGTGCACCAGGCCCTGTGCATGTGTGTGCAAAATCTCAAGAAGAGAATGGAGGAGAGGGATTGCAGCATGGCCACCATCACCATGGGGTTATTTCTCTCTCTCTCTCTCTCTCTCTCTCTCTCTCTCTCTCTCTCTCTCTCTACCCTTTCCCTCTCTCTTTCATGCATGCTCCATGGGGCAAATTAAAAATAAATAAATAAAAATTTTAAGGAAAAAAGGTGAAGTTGGAGTGAAACACAGGGAGCCCCAGGGGTGATAGTAGGAGGGAGGCTAAGAAGTAATGTTTCAGGGAGGGCATAAATACAAAAACCCCAAAACAAAGAGCATTTGGCATGCCCAGGAAATACCAGAGAGTCAGTGTGGCTGGAGTGCAGTGAACAAGGGGGAGAACAGGAGGAGATGAAATCAGAAAATTGCTGACCAAGGTTAGGCAGGTCCTTCATGAGCTATTGAGGGATTTGGCTTTTGTTCTAAGTGAGAGAGGAAACAAGAGTTTTGAGCAGAATAGTGGCTTGACTTGAGTTGTCTTTAATCCAGTTCCATCTGGCCATTCCTGGGAAAATGAGTTATAGAATAGACTGGTTAAAATTTTATAAGTTGATTTGCACAATCAGTTGCAGCTTAATGGTCTTATATTTGGGTGGTATTGCACATTATCTCCATGAAAATTAATAAGCCACTCAATGGATACACAGCCCCTCGTTACATAAAGCAAGACAATACTAGGAAGGTAAGGCTGTCTTATGAAGAAACTGCATGTGATGTATCAGAATTTCATAGGATAGCTAACCATTTACTTGCTGCTGATTCTCACAAATGCTTTAGCCTTTTTCAACTTTTGCTTTGACTGAGTGGGCCTTGTAGAACAGCAGTTAAGCCCTGTGCATTGGGAGGCAGATCCCACATGGCTGAACATGGGTCAAGTCCCAGCTCTGGCAGCTTGAAAATATGCCAGGTGCATATACTTGAGTGTGTGAAATCCTGACAAAATGGACAAATGAAGGAAAATGATTGCCCTATTGGGGCTTGTTCTCTCTCTCACACACTCTCTCTCTCTCAAGTACAAGTACATGGGCCCTCTGGCAAAATGAATCATTCTTCTTTATGTCTGAATAACATTCCATTACACATATAGACAATATTTTATTTATGTATTTATCTATTGACGGACCCTGAGGTTTGACTGCTATGAACACTGGTATACAAATATTTGTTCATGTCCTGGCTTTAGTTCTTTTGGATATATAACTAGGAGTGGAATTGCTGAACTGTGACATTTTAATACCACAAATGTCCTATGTATCTGTTTATGTGCTCTGTGTGTATATACATATATACAGTGAAATATCTTGGCAGTGAAAAAAATCTTTTTTTTTATTTTAAAAAGCACAGCTTTTTTTTTTTTTTTTTTTTGAGAGATTTTCACTGTAGGGCGCATGCGCTCACCAGACAGACAGAGAGAGACATAGAGACAGAAAGCGAGAAATCACCCCCCAGGGGGGATGGTCACGCCGCAATCCCTTCTCCTCCATTCTCCTCTCGGGATCTTGGGCACGCATGCACACGCGCCCGGCGTGAGTTTTAAGCCACCGGGTCCGGGACACGAATCGCGGTCAACTACGTGGGAGTCCAGCGATATAGCCATTACGCTAACTGCTGGTTCCCAAAAGCACAGCTTTTCATATAAGTATGAAGGGATCTTCAAAATGTTTGTAGAAGATGAGATTTAAGTATGAGTTTATTTTGGTGCAAAAAAAAATGAAATCCATGCATAGTTTTTTCATAATATGTATTTCTACAAACTTTGTGAAGACCCCTCATATATAGATATAGATACAAATATGCTTCTGTGCTTTCTACACAAAGAGAGAGAGTGAGAGAGGATTTTTTTCACCACTGCCTTCCAGAACAAATTTTCACCTCCATTTGTGGGGAGGTTGATACCATCTTCTCGATAATGGGAGCTTTAAGTAAGGGTCCCCAGATTTGCTGCCTCAAATGAGGTGTGTGTGTAAGATGTGGAAAATGACCCCCACACGCATAAGTATAAAAAGTCATCTTTATTCCCAATGTGACAAAATTATTTGTATTATATTTAGTCTTCCACATCTACAACATTTGATAAAGTCATGAGCCCAAGGGTATTTTGGAAAACTACTGTTAGCAGTGGTGCCAGGACCTGGCTAACAGAGCACATGTTCTAAGCAGTGGCAATTGGTGATGTTGTTATTCCCACTGAGCCAAAAATATCTCCACAACACAAATAGAATGATTACAAGTGCATATGTAAAATAAGGGGGGAATAAAATAAACGTGGGATCTGAAGGTCAGAGGAGAGAGAAGGCTGGTACCAGCTAGGTTACGGATGGTTTTGCCAGTGTATGGAATCCATGTCGGTGTCTAGTGGGAGGATGGTGTGGCAAGATATCCTGCATAGGCTCACCTGGCTGTTATTACAGTGGGGCTCCCTAGTGTTATACAAGGGGACTTCAAAAAGCTTTGGAAACATGCGATTAAAGTACATTTACCAGGGACCTGCAGATGGCATAATGGTTACTTTGCTGGATTCCTACATAGTCAACTGTGGTTCAAATCCTGTACTCGGTAACTTAAAACTCACACCAGACGTGTGTGTGTGTGTGTATGTGTGTGTGTGTGTGTCCAAAATCCCAAGAGGAGAATGGAAGAGAAGGGATTGCAGCATGGCCATCCTCCCT